AATCATGTTTGCACACCTAACATTGCATGGCACCCTGCAGTACCCTTAAAAGGCTCTGAAGGTACCCCTGAATCACTGAATTGGAGGGTTCTTGCTGTGCTCTATGTAGATGTCCTAGTGGTAGAGGAAATGTATTTCTTCCCTATTTTATATTTTAGATAGAGGCAGATGGCACAGTAGTCAAGACATGCTTGCATCCTTTTGAACCTGGGGGGGTCTGTGAAGCACAAAGCCATAACTTTCAACCTGCAACCACCTGGCTGAGTGGCGTTAATAGAAGGTACATATCTGAGCACAAAAAGAAAAGAGCATTTAACTTGCTGCCAAAATTAATCCCTTTCAGCAAATGCCATTTTCTTCAGTTAAATTGTGTATGATGTAACAGGCCTGATATTTGTTCTAAGAAATCCAACTCCTCCTGCTCCACAGAATCTTGCTTTTGCCTTATCCCCTTTGCAAGGAACACTGTTTATCATTTTCCCCCTCAGTCCAGTAATTCTCGACAAGGATTCCATGGCACCCTGTGGTGCCTTGAGATCCTATTATGGGTGCTGCGGGGTGCCATTCAATGTTAGCACTGTTAGAAGTGCAAACATGTGTCATAAAAAAATCCAGAGATTTCAAATAGGGATTCATAGTGTTGAAAACATTTTGGCCTGTTGTGGTCTTTCTGAGAGCTTTACAACAGAAGAATTGCTTCTATTATTTCTCTGTAGTGAAAAAACAAGTGAAAACTAAGAGCTAGCATTTTCCAGTGCATCTCTTGAAGTTAAAAATGTTAAGAACCACAGTTATAGTCAACCACAGTAATGTCTGATATATTTATGTAGGTGCTCATATGGTCCCTTTGTCACAGTAACTGAGTACCTCTAAAGTTTTTAACACTAGCCCTTTCTTTCTTCCTTCCATGCATGGAAAACAATATAACTCAATTAATTTCGTGGGCTTCTTTATTTGTGTGTGTTCATGTGAAGCGTTTACTGAGGGAGACCTACAACCCGGGGAGGAGCTGTGCCTTTAGCTTTGAAAGTAGATCATTGTTATCTCTAAATTCCACAGTCTGGGTCCAGGTCCTGTGAACACTCTCTCTGCACTCATCATCTTTCCCTATTGACTGACTGCCCTGCTTGTTCCAGTGGAATGTAGCTGGCATGCTAGGCCATGCTCATGTGGGGATTTCTCAGGTAACACAAGTTAAATCCTGGGAGGACTCTCTATATCAGGATAGAGAATTCAAACTGTACTCTGGATTCAGTGGAGGAACCAATGTAGAAGGTTGGAGAGGTATTGCACTGGATCTTGATTTACTGGTGTGGTGAGACAAAAGGAGAGGCTACTCTTGTGCAGAGAGACAGTTTAGAAAAGGATCCTAGTATTGGTTTTTAAGCATTTTTAAATGCCCTTTAAATGCTTATTCTCTTTTCCAGTTTAGATAGTATCTGTCACCTTGGGTGAGCATTCTGGAAGCATGAAGTGCTCTCTCCTGCTAGCTCAGAGTTTGAGTGGGAAGCAATAAATTACATCCCAAAGTTGTGTTTTAACTGGTGGCTCAGAGGACAAGGAAGTAGATGTACCTTTTTTGGGGGCAAAAGATATATTTTATAGCTTGAGGGACATTCAAATTTGGCATTGAAATTCCAAGGGGAAAGGTTGAAAGGGATTGTCAATTTGCTTGTAGGCTGAACTTTTACGAAGACAAAATTTAGATCTTAATTGGGCTGTAAATACTCCAAGGGGAGATATTCCTTTTAAAATCTTTCACTATCCATTGGTAGTTTGTATTTCATATCCATGTATCTATATCATTAAAACAATCTAAAGCCTAACAAGGGTGTAGGTTGTAGCTGTGTTGGTCTAAGGACATAGGCAGACATTGTTCTCTGGCTAAATCTGATATCGTTTATTAGACTAACTCAAATAGTTGGAAAGATTCTGCTTAGCAAGCTTTCAGGTTTAAATACCCTTCGTCAGGCTGAGGAAGCATCTGCAGTTGGTGTGTGCTCTTCCTGGATGGAATGAAAGCCTAACAAAATATTTCTATATATAAACATGCATGTGTGCACACAGACAAACGTGTGTGCACGCGTATGTGATATGGAAATATTTTGCTAGGCTTTAGGTTTTATTTTAATACTATATATTATATGTTTGTATCCATGTGTATATTTATACATGGATAGTGAGGTTTTAAAAGAAATATATTCTCTTGTAGTATGTTCCCAGCCCACTTACTGCAATACTGTCAGCACATGGGAATACGATTAATTGGAATTTGGTGTTCTCTTTTCATTGTGCAAGTAAACAAACAGCGTAAGCAGCAGAAATTTAAGGTTGTGTCCCTTCTAAGCCTCATTGTAGAAAGAGGAAGCTCTGCAGCTAACCAACAAAGAGAAATCCTCATGTAATTAGTTTTTAATAATTTTGTGTTCCTTTTCTTTTACCTAGAAAGTAGTAAAATAACATTAGGGCATGCTGGTGCGGGGGGTGGGGGTGATAGTGGTTAGTGGCTGCATTTTCCCTTTCTCTTTCTTTTCTTTTGAGTATATGTAACGACTCAGTGAAGGGAAATAATAAAGAAAAGTTTTCATTTTTATGTTCTATTTCAAGGATATTCCAATTTTCTTTCTAGAACCCGTTTTTCCCTATCTCTGGCACATTGCTAGACCAGACCTTTGCTTAATAAGGAAAATTTGAAATGGATAAATGTCATACTTTACAAATGCAACAGGCTTGAAAGAACAATTTAGTGACAGTAGCCTGGAACTATATAAGTTGCCAGGAATGCAGCACATGCAGAACAGAAGATCCCAAGGATGAGATTGTTACTTGGTATGGAGAGTCAGGCTTTATGCAGGTAGGGTAGATTTTGCTGTTAGTACTAAGGTGATTTTATTGAGTGCCAAACTTGCTCCAAATTTCTGGCATTGACTCCCCATAACATTTGGTGTTGACAATAAGGTATTTCTAAAGTAAAACACAGCATATTTGCATGTATGATAGAACATTATATTACCATTTGTCCTTGGTAGCTCCATGAGTTCTAAGTCTTAAGCCATTTTGAGTATTTGAGATGCAGTTGTGGGCCTGATTCTGATCTTACTTAAATCTATGTAATCTAAGAGCCATTTCACTGAAATCCACGGTGTATCAAACTGGCATAACAATTTTGAGAGACAGGAGACTCAAACTCCTACGATTTTAGGGAGGAAAGCCCTGTAATAATGCATTTCTGTTGGCAACTCTCTCATTAGTTTTAATGATAATACTTTCAACATGAAAGCTAAACTGTGGAAAACAATTTAGAAATATTTACAGTTAAAATTTTAGGAATGCTAGATTGTTGAGTAGGTTTTTCTTCAATCCTTCTTGGATGAAGGAAGTTGTACAAACACTTTCTGTAATAGCTATCACCACAACTATTAAAACTTAATTTTTAAATCATATTTGTGTGTGTGTGTTCAACATGAATGTACATTTGTGTTTGCAGCTGCTATGATTTAAGTTGATTAAGTGTTTTTCTGGAGAGAGATTTTTTTCATTGCTGTTGTCAATAGAAGAATCAGCTGGCAGGTCAAGATTAGTGTATTTACAAATTATTCTATAATAATAATTGACACATTAATTGTAATCATGGTAAAACCTTTAAGAAAATCTGATGTGTGCACGTAGATTTACAATTTTAACTCTTCCTGTAATCTCATTAGACCTCTCAAGTTGTGCTTTCTCCTCTTTTTAATTGCTCTGAGGTTGCCCTCCCTTTTGCCCCTCTTCCTTTCTTTTACATGCTCAACTTTCCTGGTTAATGGTGGCAGGAGCATGAAACAAAATGTCTTCCCTTGACTTGTCTAGCTGGTTCCCTGTCTGCTATCAGCATATATGTCAAAGGGGGAAGGGCTGTTAGATATACTTCATAAGTCAGGACAAGAAAGAAGAATATCTACTAATAACGTCAGGTGCATCTACACCAGGGATAGGCAACATTTTTTTGGCTGGTGTGCCGAAAAACCCCACAATGCCTACCTTGGAAGGTGCCGGAGTGCCGGCATGCTAGAAAAACAAAATGAGGGCAGGGGGTACATGGCAGGATGCCCTGCTTGTACCCCTTACCCCCAAGCCCTGCTGCCCTGTGCCCTGCACCCAAAGCTCCTGCCCCCCCAGCCCTGCTCATGCTCCTTGCCCCCCACCCAAAGCCTCTGCCTCCCAGCCTGGGCTCTGTGGCTGTCAGCAGCTACCCAGAACTTGGGCCAGCTGCAAACATCTGCTGCCTCTTTGCTCCAGCCCTAGCTGCCTCCCAGACCCGGTCCCAGGCACTGGGGACATGGCACATATGGACAGTGCTCCCCATTATGCTTCCCTTGTCGCTTGTGTGGAGCAGCATTGGAACCCGGCACAGCAGGGGGCTCAGAAAGCTGCCTGCTCCCAGCTCCCCACTGTCCTGGCCACACTTCCCCTTCGTGCCTTGGAGCAGTGTGGGCAGCAGCAGGGTTGTGCCCCTCACTGCTGCCCCTGCCTGCAGAGAAAGTGCGGCAGGGCAGCAGGGAGCTGGGAGCAGGCAGCTTTCTACACCCCCCGCTGTGCCCTGCTGTGCTGGGTTCCAACGCTGATCTGCAGAAGTGAGAGCAGCACAGCGGGGAGTATTGCTGGTATGTGCTGCCTCCCCGGGGCCAGGTCTGGGGCTGGGAGGCAGCTGGGGCTGGGGTGGAGAGGCAGCAACTGTTTGCAGCTGGCCCAAGTTCTGGGTAGATGCTGATAGCCATGGAACCCAGACTGCTTGCAGCAGGGCTTCTATGGAGCAGCCCGGACTCCATGGCTATCAGCAGCTACCCACACCGGGGGCTGGCTGCGGTTTCCCAGCCGCCTGGTGGGAGCAGCCTGGGTTTCCAGCTGGCAGCAGCTACGCAGAGCTGGGGCTGGCTGCAGCCAGGAGGCTACAAACAGCTGCTGCCTCCCTGGCTTCAATGCCTGCTGAGGAAAATGGCCTTGCATGTGATGCTCTGCACGTGTGCTGGGGGTTGCTGACCCCTTATCTACACAAAGCATGAACAATTAAACTGGAACTAAATAGCCACATCTTGAATAAACAGTATCTGTACTCAGACTGTAACAAATCATAGCCAGCCTCCTTCTCTGCCAAGCCACTCTACAGCAGATGCTTGAGTTAATACCATGTTGTCTTGCATACACCACACACCTTGTTTCCAAATACCAGCTGTTGGGGATTGTAGTGCATATTATACCTGAGAAATATGGTAAGAACAGTTTCTACTGGTTGCTGTGTGAAAACAGAACTAACATCGGCTTCCTACCTGCTGCTACTCAGTTACTTACTACAAGGAAAGATGGTTTTCCTTTGTTCTGCCTTTCAAAAATAAAGTGTGTATTTTATTCTGGGGTGTGTTGTATGAAGAAAATATGATGGACAGAGTCTATAGTGAACTCAGTTGTTGTAGGAACAAGGGGAAGCAAATCCTGTGGTTAAATTCCATGTGCAGAATGTACCTTCTCCAGGCCCTAAATTTAAACTGAGTTTTACAAATCAGTACATCCCAGCTGATCTCACTTGTTAAGACACAGTACAATTTTTGAAGCAGCCAACTTAAAAATAAGCACAGCTTTCCTAATGAGAACCTACACCTTCAATTGTACCCAGGAACAATTTTTAATTGATTGCAATCTATAAAGCACTTATGTCATGTCTTGCATATGCAACACTAAGCAGTCTCCATGTGCAGCATTTGCAGAAAACCCCATACAGGAAAGCAGGCAAAGATGGGGGAAAAAAAGTGTTCTTGACCACCAGTACCTCCTGGAAATTCAAGGGCAGAAATATCCAAGAATGTTTTTCGTTTAGCCATCAACTGCTCCCAAACTAAACTTCAAGGACAGGTTCTCAAGTGGCTCTCAAACAAGCATGAATCTGAGCATAACCCACAATAAAGCACACAACTGGGTGCAATGAAAGATGTAGAGCTGAGACATTACATCAATAACAATGCAGCTAAAACTGCTTCTGTCTGTAGCCTCATGGGTCAGTTAAATGGGAGATGTGACAGTATAAAGTACTGTATTGGTGGTGGTGTCAGTGGCAGCCCCTCAAAATATGGATGACAGTCTTTCAGTAAATAGGGATGTCATTGGTGAGTCCATAGATGACTAGGGAGGCTCTTCTGAGGTCTGCACATTGAACTGCAAATAATTCCAGGAGGAAGGAGTTAGATACTGATGATGTCAGGTCACAGCTCTTTCCCTTTGTCTCTATCATCTATATGCTTCCATAGTGAGATGAGATTGTGCAGAATGATTGATACCTCATTGTGCATCACTGCACCATGGGTACAATTCAGTACATGAGTCTCCCAGGTACTGATGTCATGCAGCCCCAACGCTGTGCTGACTCTGGGGTTGCACATCAAGACTGAGCAGCAGCACTAGGCAGAAACTGTTGCTCAGCGCGGGGGAAAGTGGCCCCTTCTCCTTGCTGCCACGGGGCATTTTTTGGTGCTGCTGCCCAGAGCTGGTGCTGTGCTGGGCTGCAGTGCAGCTCCATCACTGCTGTGTCTGGGCTACCCAGCGTAGCATTGGTGACAGTGTGGGGCAGCACAGAGGCAGTGGTGATGGAGTTGCGGGACAGCCTGGTATGGCATGGGCTTCAGGCGACCGCACCAAAAACTGCCTGGGGGCAGCAAGGGGGAGGGGCTGCTTTCCCCCATGTCAAGCAACAGTTTCTGCCCAGTGCTACCGCCACTGTGGCTGCTGCTCTGCCAGGACTGGCGAGCCTGGAGCAGGTGCTGGGGCTTAGGCTGAGCAGTGGCAGTGCAAGAGAAAAACTGCTGCTCAGCACGGGGCAAAAGTGGCCCCTCCACTTTACCACTGCTTCCTGGTACAGCCTCCCAGAGCTCACACAGGGCTGCCTTGTGTCTGCTCTGTGCGGCCACCGCTGTCCTGCAGGGCAGCCCAGAGGCAGCGGAGATGCAGGGCAGCACTGCGTGGGCTCTGGGCAGCTGCCCCAGGAAGCCATGGTGGCAGTGAGGAGCTGTTTTTGCCCTGCACTGAGCAGCAGTTTGTCCTGCGTTACTGCTGCTCAGCCCAGATAGGTGAGCTTGGAGCCGGAGCAGGGTGCACAGGGTGGGGGTTGCACGCTAGTCCACTGATACCGCAGGGCTGGGGCCAGTGGCGGTGGCAGCCGAAGGAGCTGCCACTGCCCAGGCTGCCTAGCAAGGCAGCCCCACTGCAGAGCTACCCCAGCCCTGCTGCATGCCCAGGGCGTGGCAGAACACGCCATGGCTGGGCAGCACCTCAGCCACATGGGACTAAGTGACCCACCACGGGCCAGACAAATCCCCTCTATGGGCTGGATCTTGCCTCCAGGCTGTATTTTGCCCATCTCTGCTCTAGAACAATGACCATCAGTGAGTTGGGAGTACAGGCGAGCCTTGCTATTTGCCCTCCCCTGTGAATGGTAAAATCCGTAAATAAGGCAATGCGTTCATGAACACGGTGCCCCTGGCAGCTGGGGGTGGGGCACAGCAGTGGTGAGGTTGTGGTGGCAGCAAGCGTGGAGCTCCTGTAAGTGCATAAAGTGTATTTAAGATGCAGGTTTGGCATTTGCGAATATTTGAAACCGCGAATGCCGAACCCACAAATAGCGTGGGTTTTCTGTATAAGGCCTGTTTTGGCAACTGGCTGTTAGGCATTCTTATGACATGTCCTATTCAATGGAGCTGGTGCCATATAAACGTGGCGTCAATGCTGGTGGTGTTTCCTTGGGCTAGAATGCTGGCTGTCATTCATTCTTCTGTCCTAGTTGATATAGAGGATTTTCTGAAGACATCACTTACGGTCACATTCCAAAGTTTTCAGGTGTTTCTGATGTTGTTAAGGTTTCACATCCATACAACAGGGGAGGGATAATCACAGCCAAACCAGACTTCTTTTCTGATGTAATGATCAAAAACACAGTTTCAGAGATGTCCAAGGGTAGCACTGGCAGATTGAATCTGGTGTTACCTATGTTTACTTTTTGGGAAAAGTGGTTACCTAGGTAGGGGAAATGCTTAGCATTCTCCTAGGATTGCCATCTGATTGTTCCAGTGTGGTTTCAGACCACTCAGAGACACAATAAATATGATCTTTGTTGGTACACAGTTTCAGAAGAAGTACCATGAGGAACACCCAGATTGGTGCAATTTTCATTGACCTCTAAGGCCTTTGATTCAATCCAGCAGATAGGCTTTATGGCAGACCTTTGATGAGATTTAGATACCCCTCAAAATCCAGCATCAGACTTCTTCACAGTAACTGTCATAAGCAATGGCTTGGAAACAGACCTCTTCACTATGAGAACTGGAGTTGAGCAAGGATGTGTAATTGCACTCTTTTGCATTTTATTTCACAGCTATTCTGGATCTTGTTGCTGATAGACTTCAACCTGGAGTCAGCATCCAGCACTGTATGGATGAGAATCTCTTTTACGTCAACTGGTTACATTCCAAATCCAAGATAACTAATACCTCCGTTACTGATCTTCAATATGCTGATGATTATGCCATGTGTGCCCACTCAGTTAGAGGTCCTGGTCACTCTTGGTTTGCTTCTGTGAAGCAGATGAAATTCTTGGACTCATGTCAGCTTCACAAAAACCAAGATCCTTTACTAAGCCTCCCCAGACTAATCGGTTCCACTTCCACCTATTAGAATTAGAGGGCAGTCCTTGGAAAAAATACTGTAGTATTTGCTTGAGAGCATGCAGGGGAGGTGAAGGCCAGTGCTGCTTTCTGGGACCTGTATGAAAGAAAGGAACAAAGCTGCTCAAAGAGGACAGTGCTTTCTCTTCTGTGATCTGCAGGGCATACCAGCATCTGATGGCATGGAAGGCAGCTAACTCCTTTTTGAGACGCAGTATGGAGACTTGCCTTTTGTTTATCAGGAGGAGATCTTCAACTACTTACATTGTATTGTAGCAGAGCTAGCCTATTGCAGCCTTTTCAAAACACAAAGACTAGAGAGTACCTGACATCTAGAAACCCCATAGGCATTAAGGCCTGATTTCTTGAGCATTCTTCCAGTTGCTTGCTTGTTTTAAAGGAGGCTGGCATCTTGCCCTCTTAATGGAAGACATTGTTGATGTGGTCCCAGTGTGCATCTGCTAAATTGAGTTGTATTTGAATTGTAGGAGGTTTTTGTCCCCAGTTCCTACAGCAGCTTGAGAACCTCTAAGAGAATGGTTAAAACCCAAAGACCCATTTTCCCAGGCAAGTGTTTACCACCATGTAGGTAGGTCAACCATTGTAAATCTGTTATACATTACCTTTTAAAGGAGAGAGAAATCTGTGTAGTGTGAAAATTTGTTTTTCCATATTCTGAATGATGGCAGCCAGGTTTTACCAGCATTTACCCGTGTGTGTCACTTTCAGAAGATTTACCTACCTTAGCACCACCTTGTTTAGAGTAGGAGCAGAAAATAATAATAAGCAATGTTTGACCCCTGTCTCCATGCAGCTTTTCTCCTTGTGACTGCTGCTGGAGGTATGCTGGGATTAGATTAGGGTAAGTCTCATTTGTTTCTGAGCTGATGCATCCTGAGTTTCACTACACCAAACTGTGGCATTGTTATTTGTATCTTGACAGCCCCTAGAAACTTTAATCAAGGATCATGACTCCATTAGGAGGCACTTTGCCAGGGCAGTGCAGGGAGCAAGGAGCTTCCCTACCTGGCTCTGCTGTGCCAGGTTTCACCTGCTGGGCTGCAGAGGCCCCAGGGGGGAAGGCAGCTGGGTGGGAAGCCTGAGCCTGCAGTGGGCAGTCTGCTTCTGTCTCTGCCCTGTGCACAAATCTGGAACCAGCCCCCCGTCCCCCACCTGCAGCTCTGTCCTGCTTCTAACCGGGGCCCTGTCCATGCTGTCTGCAGGCCCCAAGCCATGTGCACTGCCCCAGCTGGGCAGCAGCCCTGCCCAATTCCCTCCCTCCCTCCCTATGGGGGCCTCAATACCCCCTTCCCCTCTGTCAGACTTGCCTGTGGGAGCTGCTCTCCAGGCTGCCTGGTGGCCATGTGCATGTGTGAGTGCGCACGTGCACATGGCACCCGCTGCCTGACTGTTCTCCTCCCCCCAGCCGCTTGCAGGCTGGGATTCTGCCAGCCTGCAGACAGCTCTGCAAAAGTGGCAAGCCCGTGTGTTTCTCCATTAAAATGAGAAATCCGTGTTTTTCTTGGTTAAAATCCACTGTTTTTTCCATTTTTCCATGGGAAACAAAACACTTGGATCCCTGGTTATATCTAGTTTTTCCAGTGCTGACTCCCAGGATCTGAGAGCAGGTACAATGTGGACAGTGTCCTCATTTGTAGTTCATTTGTTCTTTCGTTCCTTTTGGAATAATCAGATCTCTCAGTGGATGTGAGATAAAATGGAATTATGTAAAATATTTGAGTATTAACCCATTTCTGACTTGATAGATTAACTCTTAATAAATCCACGAAGACAATAAGTAGATAGGAGGTCACTTAAATAGTTTAAAGTGAATGTTTACCACTGATGCTCAGTTGACCTGAGTTTGTGTACTGGTTTTGGGCTTCCTGGGTCAGTAGACCTTGGGAGTGTGTCAGAAGGTAGAAAGAAGTATTTGCACCTTATATCCTCCAATAGAAGCAATTTCTTGGTCATAGAGAAAAGCTGATAGGAAGTTTTAATCTGGCTTTGTGAGAGACTTTGTGATGTTGAGGAGAGAGAGGAATTGTTAGACTCGATCAGTCATGAGGAACTGACAGCAAAATGAAGGTTTGTTTGTGTGGTTGTGCCCACAAGAGATTATCTTTCAAATTGCCACGTAAGAGTTTGGTGACTGCTACTAGGGGAATTAATTTATGTGCTGGGAGTTAAACTGGTCACAAATATTTCAACAGGATGTTCTTTCCATTGGAGAATGCTGATTCTTTGAAATTGAAACATTCCTTGGAGACGGTTTGGTTTGCAGTGAAGGGCCCATGGAAAGCAGGAAGGATTTTGTCAGGTCTGGTTTCTTTCCATCTTGCCTGCCTGAGGCCATGGACAGATGCACTGTTTGAAGCTCTCCATGTGCCTTCAGAGTGCTCCAAACAGTGAATGTGCAGGCATTCGTGGCTGAGGAAGCACTTAAAGAATGCTCCCTCGTCCCCCTCTCCCCATAGATATCTTTGAAGTTTTTTTCAAGTGTCCTAGAATGTCTGCACACTGCAGTCCTCTGTCATCCCACAGTGCGGGAGGAACAGGGTGGACAGCCAGTAAGTGCTGTCCTGTATTTTGCTGTCCTTGGGAACCTCCAGAGACTGGAGGCCAAGAGGTATGCATGTAGGGATTCCTGCTGTGTGGTGCCCTGGACGGAGAGCACTGCTGCTACATGCCTTCATGAACAGTTGATCTGGGGTTGGAGGTAGGGTCATGTCTATGTGATGCCGAAGCTCACTGAATATGAAGCATTCCAGAATTTGGATACTTCAGCTGCATTTCTGTTCATGCCCAGAATCCCAAGCAGATTAGGTTACAAGGGTCTTGGCTCTTTGGAAACTAGAAGCCTCAGAACCTCTAATTCCAGCTGTAAAACTCCAACTCTCAGTCTCCCTGGCTTTTCTGCAGCTCACCTGATGGGGAAGCAGGAGCGTGGAGTGGGATGCTCCCCAATGCTTTCCTTTTCCTAGTGACTTCAAAATTTCTTTGTTTTTGTTCCAAATTGAAACAAAGCCAAATTTCAAATATCAAAGTCTTCTTTGGAATGGAATTAGAGCTTTGCCAGCAAAGCTCTAGCTAATAAAGGTAATTCCACCTGTGCACCTTGTAACCTAGGTTCTGGTTTCAGCTCTGTCCCTGTTCTGTTGTGATTTGCTAAAGATCATACTTTCCCCTTTGGTTTTGCCCCAGGAGGTGGGAAACAGGGAATTTCTTTTTTTAACAGGGTCATTGTTTTGGCTATCGTAGTTGATGGTTGGCTGAGTGGCACATCCTCTGCCCACTGCTGTGGTATCACTAGTTCCAGCTAATGGAGAATTGATTCTTTATTTATCAACCAAAGTTGACCAAAGTGAGCCAAAGTCAATCAAGCGTCTTCTGACGAGATTCAGCATTTTCTTCTGTAAATAAAATCCCTAGTCATTTTATGTATGTATGTATTTATTTATTTATTTTTATTTTAAGGTTCTACAGCTTCTTTTCTACTTTATTTCCTGGTGGTTGCATTTCTCCTACTTTCAGTATGACCTGTTAAGTGAATATTGTTAAAAATGCCATTTCACTGGGGAATATGCTGTGTGATGTTCCTAACAGTGATGGTTTTCCTTCTTCGTTGCGCAGGCCACTTTAGAAAGATGGATTAAAATGGATGCCTGCAGTTTTCAGTTTCAATCATGGTGTTTGTCAATTTTGTTGTCAGGAAGGGTAAATTGAAGCCAGCGTGAGAACCTGAAATTGAGCCATCCAGGAAAGTTTATTTGTTTTATGCACATGCACATGTGTGTGTGTATGATCTTGCTTCAGAATTGCTGGTCCCTCTTACCTTATTTCTCTGCAATTTTTAAATGTTTCCTTTCAAGATTACTTGAAATACAGGAAGTCCTGTTTTTGCACTCTGATTATGGATGTTTTCTTACATAAATGATCCTCATCACCTGGGAGAAACGTGATGCTCCATATCTCTTGGATCTTAGCCATAGACTTGGAGAATGAATTATCCAGGAGAAGATGAGGTTGTTAGTGTGTCTGCATTTGTTGCTGGCAACTGATAATACAGCATATTTCTTTTCAATTTTGATTATTTATTAGCTCTGTTTTCAGACATGCAGTCAGATCATGGCCTTGTGCATAGTTAGCCAATTAGGGTCAAAATCTTTCTGTGTATGAAATGCCAGCAGTTATGATTTATTGCAGTCTGAATTGATAAGTAACAAACAGTCCTAGCCAGTTTGGAAGACTAGCTGGAGGTATGATAGATTATCACCACTTTTCTGCTGTACAGGATGTGTCTCTTGGCTCTGATCCTCCTGTGCTAAACACCATCATCCAGCTTTACTGTGCTGAGTTAAGAGAAAAACAGGAAGATGAAAGGGGCTTCTTTCTAAGAGCTATATGGGTAATGCCTCCCCCCCAGTTACCCGCTTCTACAAACGTCATTGCCACTGTCTTAATTTTCTTAGAGGTTTCTGTCACAACTGAAACAGTTCTTATGGAGATACCTTAGTACTGGTGAAAAGAGACAGATGGATAACTCTGAAGATTATCCACAGGACAAGTGCAGTATGGGCAGTGCCATCTTGCTTTCAATTGTCTTACTGCCATATATTGTTCCTGATGGAAATGCATCTGCAGGACAAAAGGTAAATATGCTCTGGCTTTGTTAATTTCTTGGACACTTAGTTGAGCCTGCTACCCTGAAGGATTTGTCATTCACATCACAAACATTCACCTCAGTGAGGCCATTTCCTAGCAGGCTAGTGGTACTGGGACCACCAACTTACTTGGCAGGAGAAATACCATGACCACTAAGGCAGTTTTCCTAGTCACCCCTGGGGATGGCCGCTTTCTGGCATGGGGTAGTACCCGCAGAGGTAATGGATAGTAAACATCCTACTTGCTGCTCAAGCAGGAAGATCTTGGCTTTATGCCCACTTTATGGAAATGGGAGATGCTTCCCAAGCTTGTCCCTGGGGCCTTATGGCTGAACTTGGGGGCATCCGAACCCCAAGCCTGTGGGCTTGGGCCTGCACGTAGGATGCCTGCCAAAGGATTTGGAAACATCTGATACCCCAGGTGGGGTGTAGGGTGTTTGCTGGTAGTAGGGCCACTTATGGTTCCTGACTGACTCCTGGATTTGGAATTGATTTGGATTGGAACGCGAAAAATTCTCTTAAAAAAAAAAAAACAACAAAAAACAAAACCTCAAATCACAGAATAGCTGTCATTATTGACTCAGTGCTCTGAAGCTAAGGTGAAGGATTCACCTTTGCATCACATTACCAGTTTCCTGAGCTATTTCTCCCTTTTTATTATAACTCTGGGAAATCACTACTCTGTCATATTTGTGTGACTAATCTCATGTAATATCTTCTACCTGACAGTATTAGTACATCACAAGCCTTTCACTAAAAAGGGTTAAATCATTTCCCAAAGGATCCTTTATTTTCTTACAGTGACACAAGGAAAATTATACCACACAAAGTAGCAGATATAGGTTGTATGTGTTACAGCTTTTTATAGAAAGGTTCTGTAGTATGGTAGAATGAAATAGCAAGGGTAGAGGTAACAGTTGGCATTTCAGAGAGAGTAGGAGCCTGCTGGTATAAAACACCCCTTACTGAGCTGATCCGCTCCTCTTGGCCTACCAGCAGTTTTCTTAACCATGTTCAAAACAAGAACAGCTTGATGGCTGGAAACACAGAGATAAGGCCCCATCTGAATCCTCCCTGCTGGAGGGAGGATGTGTTGTAGATTTTAAGTGGCGGCTGCTTTGTGAGAGACTGTTAAAGAGGACACATAAGATGCACAGGATGTTCAGTGGGAAATAGCAGAGGACAGCATGCTTGGTTAAGTCACTTCCTTCTGTGTTCAGTCCCCTGACTGCTGCAGTCTTCCACAATAACATGTTTCCGTTTTACTGCCACACATTTCCAATCCCATTTACTTCCATTGCCTAGGTCATAAGCAGCTGTGTTGCACTCTGTTAAATGCTGCCCTCTCTTAGGAAAATGTTTTTGTCCATTTGTGTGATTGCTTCCGGTCACGTTTAAACCAACTTTTCCTGCTTAGAGATTTTTTTAAAGTTGTTATTGTTGCCTGCTCTGCCGTACTAAGGGAACAGAATCTTTGTTTTTTACATAAGGTGACCTCCCAATAAAGCAGAGTTTAGAAGCCCTAAAGAATGATAACCAGGGATCCTGGTTTCCTCTGTTTAAAAATTCCAAATTCTCTGATTTAACCCCCTCCCCAAATCCACGCACAAATCTGGGGGGGGAGTCACGTGCCCTCCTAAGCCCTCTCCCTGGGAGTGTCTCCCTATGCCCTCTCCCCAGCCAGCCTCCCTGCTGTCCCCAAAGATGGGCCACCTGTGGCTCTGTCCCGCTTCCCCCTGCCGGGCTGTGCATTCCCTTCCAGGTCCTGGGCAGCACCCCCAGCTGCAGCCACCATCCTGCCTCATTCCCCCACCATGGCTGCCTCAATCTGCCCCCCTACCCCCCATATCACCTATGCCATCTCCTTCCCCCCCACCTGTCACCTATGCTCCCCCTTCCTCCCAGACTTACCTGGGCAGAACTTACCTGGGGGAACTGCTCTCTACCACTGCCTGGCTGTATTACTGACCACATGCATGTGTGCATGTGCACACATGGACATAGTACCTCATATGTCCCATTCCCCCGAGCCCCAAGAAGCCCCTTGCAGGCTGGAACTCTCCCATCCTGCCAGGAGAAACTCATGGTTTCTCATGTTTTTTCCATGAAAGGAGAAAATCTGTATTCTTCTGTAGCAAATGGAAAGTCTGCCTCCCCAATGATAATCTACAAACTATAGACATTTTGTTTAACGTAACACTTGTTTATACTGCTAATTTTATTATGAATTAAAGGCATTTGTTGTGGGACAGATAGAAAATAATGAGAAAAATACCATTTGCCAGAGCTCTGGGATATACGTTAGTATATATGTGATTTCTATACACTTTTTTGAGTGTAAACCCAAAATGTATTTATTTAATTTTTTGTTTGAGCGCCATCAAGCGTGGTATAATGGTTTTTAAAATGAAGGCAAGAAGTTAAAAAAAATTCTTTAAAAAATTCTATTCAGCTACTATTGTAATATTACAAATATCATTGACATTAATTCTGTGTAATAGACCTAGGATAATTTTGAGAAAATGCTCCCAATGAAATAGGAATTGATTTATGGGGGAAAACGAACACCTCAAATTATAGTTGTTAGAAGTAAAGAAGTTTTGAGGGAAAATTGTGCTTAAAGCAATGAATTTTGTTTCCAAAATGTCAAAATTCTAATCCAAGTTCTGCTGGTTCTGCACAAAACCAGTATTGTGATCTGATTCAGGCAGGTCTTATTGTAAAATCAGGGTCAGTTGCATAATTTTTGTCTTTTTCAGTCAGTAAAGTGGAGAGACAAATTTACCTGCCTACCTATGTAATTCTGGTAACTCTGATTACTTGGCTAGTGTTTATCAAGCACAGTGAAGATTGCCAGTCCCATAAACTTCTACATATTTTTATTACATCTCCTATCACTAAGATAAATGCAGTGGGTTTTTTTCTTACTATTTTTCCCTCCAAATACCCACATACTGTTGAACTGGGTCACTACTCCTGTTAGGGTCAGACTGATCACCTTATTTGAGGTCAGGAGGGAATTTTACCCCATCTTCAGATTGATATGGACTTGTGGAGGTTTTTGTGTTCCTCTTTAGTGTGGGGGTAGGAGGTGGCTCTCTACCTGGGGTCTCTCAAGTTTATATTAACAACCTTTTATAAAAGTAGGACATTGGCTACCATGGTTCCCCTGCTTAATCTGTGGCAGGTTAGAGCTATGTCTTGTGTTGTCTCAGGGTTTTTTGGTAGCTTTACAAAGAGTTTAGATTATGGAGTGTTGGTTTGGATAAGAATGATCCTGCCTCAGGCATTGGACTAGTCACTAGATGTCTTCTGGAGGTCCCTTCCAGCTCTGCTTCTCTATGATTCTATGATTTAACAGACTTAAGCTTTTACCATGCTGGTTGATGACCACTCTTGCCATGATCCATAAAGTACTTCAGCACGTTAGTGGGCCTTTCAATTAAATGTGACTACTTGGGCTAAAATACTGTGCTGGATTGTAGTCAGAGTAGTCAGCACCTCGCAGGATTAAGCTCTGAGTAAGTATTTGTGCTATGAATCCAAGCAGTATTATGGTACTTTGGATTTTCTGTAGGGTTTAGGGACAGAGATGAAGCAGAGCTCTAGCTTTCAATTTGGCAACGATCATAAATGGTTGGGGGGAACACTAGTAGCAGCCTAGTTAAACATATGGCCCCACCAAAGGCCTAGCGGCAAATTAATTTGTTGCTGTTCTATGGTAAGAAGAAACTTGTGCCTAAGGTACTAATGCTGGGTACTGGAGATCAGCAGTTTTACCAGTAATACATCTATAAGCAAATTTTAAATATTTGGTCAGAAGTGCCTATTAAGGATTACATTTGGCTTTGTTATTTTAGAAGATATTCTGGTCCATGAAATAAGAGAACCCTTCAAAGTAAAGTCTAAGTGTTACATACTACATGAGCACTATATGTGGTATATACTGTAAAATGCATTATTATGATATTGATAAATGTTGCATGATTATATTTGGAGTATTCAGTTATATGGAATTTGGATTTACTGTATACAATGCATGGAGACTTTCCTGAGTTGAGTTTCATCTTCAGTCGTATTGTCACAACATCAGCACAACATCTTCAGTCACAGGCATTGAGTAGATAGTTGCCACACAAAGCTAGTGATTTCAGAAGTGATTGAGAGCCATGGGATTAAGAAATGAGCATATTGTTCTAATTTGCTTTCATTAGAACAGAGATGATAGGTACTCCATTCCAATATCTGCTTTTAAAGGAGTACTGTGTGCTAGAAATGGTATCAAACTGACTAAGAAAGTTTGACTGATTACTCTTTAAATAGGGTATTCAGATCTAAACAGAATTCTAAATGAATTGTTATTAATGTGGTTTGTTAAGCATCCTTTATGGATGTTTACAATAGGCTTTATGCCAAAAGAGGTTGAGCAACAGAGCTGTAAATGCCTACTAAACATGAAAGGTTCACGCCTGCACTCTCCCATTGACTGTTATAGTAACTGCAGATGCAAGTTATGGTTGCAGCTAGTCCAATACTTCCAGCAGAAGTGTGACTTTTTTTCCCCTGCCCTTGTAGTTGAGGCTATCCCTTTAAACCTCTGGCTGGAGCCTGATCCTTAATATGAGAAAGTTCTTAACACTGTGCAAAATCATTCTGTGGTGTGAATTTTAAGCCAGCCTGCACAAACAGACAGTATCAGGCAGAAGCATAGAGACGTGCACATCAGCCTTAGTATCTGGTTCTAACACTTTTCAACAGGGGAAATGCCATACTTGACTGTCTCATTAATATGTGTGGATGCATTTTATCCTGTGCAGGGTCAAGTTTTTTTATTTAAACCTTGTGGAGAGTGCTTTTCTTACCCTTCTGGATCCAAGTTTGTGCTGCTCATCTTCTATACCACCAAGCAATTGGCTTGGTAATGCAAGGTGCGGGCTGTTGGAGGATTGTGTTTGGTAGCTGATTAATCAGTGAATTGGACAGAGCACTGTTATCTCAAGGGCTTCTTATATAAACTGGTTTCATAGTCAGCCTGTCAGTCATGCTTTCACAAAAGGGACCAGGGTCCTCTGCTCCTCTGTTCACCTGGATTAGAAAGGACCAAGAGCAGTGTGACTGAGCCTGTCTCAAGTCATTGGTGGCGGTGTCTCTCTGCAAAGTAAAGCTTTTTACTGAGCTGTGGGTGGAGAAGGTGGGGAGGTAAAATGAGAGAGGAAATGGGCTGA